GAGCCTCTTGAAGTTATCCACCAGCTAGTAATTATGCTGCCTTTCTAGGGGCTAGACATCTGTTAGTTCTTTAATTTGATTTTATAAAAAATATTTCCTCTACAAATCAAGGCTCTTAAAATTTTTTTTAAATGCTTGGCCAATCAGAAGAATATGCTTTTGGATGGCTGGTACTATGATTTATGTTTGGAAAAACAACAGTATTTGATTATGTTGAGCTTCAAACTTACCCTTTGATGAATGGAAATCTTTCTGGCAAATACTTTTTATTATGGTCTGCTTTTACTTGGTCCAAGAGTGTTCACTCTCGGGATTCAATTTGAATGCCTTCAGACACCTCTTAATCATATTAAATCTGTGATATCAGTGGGGCATCCATTTGGAAATGTTTAGTAGTCAATTGATATAATGAAAATGGAACGAAATTGAGCCAGTTGGGTGTCTAGTTCCCATAGAGGCAGTGATGTTGTGTTTTGCTGTCTGATCTTTCACGCTCTGTCATCTTTTTCTCTACCATTGCTCTGTTCCTTTGCCACTGTGTGCCTCAGAGTAATGATGTGTTAATTCACGGATGCAAAACATCTCTCCATTTCTTGCTTAAGTTCCTGCTCTAGTTCTTTTTAGAGAATCTTTAAAGGTATCTGTAAGGCTGAAGAACATCTAATCTCTTAATATATAGCTTCGTAAACTAGTCGACTTCTTGTCTGAGTCTTCTGAGAAACTACCCAGGATGAACACCTATAAAGATTCAGTGAGAAAGTGATGAGAGTTTTGTAAAGAGGAAGATGTTATAGCAATATGGCTAAAGAATTAGTTAAATATGCACTTAGAATAAGAGGCTAGGGGTATGGTTAGGGTTTCTGAAGCCTCTTATTGGGAAAGCGGGTCCTGAAGACCTCAAGAACATGAAAATGAAAGTAGCTAATTGATCCTATAAAAATTGGGAGAAAGCAAAGGGCCTCTGAGGCTGGGTGGGAGAAAGAAAGATTGCCCTAATATGATATAAGCACTTTCTACCAAAGAGATCTGAAGCCCTAAATGGCAGGTCTAGGACAGGTGCACTCAGGCCAGGCTAGGTAGAGGGCAGCAGGAAGAGATGAGTCCAGGACCCCTAAAGGCTTATCGCTGGGGACTGATCTGACCACAGGTGGCTTGCTCTGAGTCCAGATATGGACCCCTCACACTCTGTTCCTTTCCAGGGCAGATATTAGGCCAAGTTAGTCTGCATTGTGAGGACACAGTTCTCTATCTGGAGGCAGTTGGGCCGAATTAGCTTGGCCTAATGATTACTCAAGACAGCCTGAACATATTTCGAGGTCCACAGGGCTCTGCAACCAATGAGAGTATCTCACTGCCTTTTAGCTTGATCTGGATGATAGTCATCTTCATGACATTGCATTTTGGGAGTCTTCATAGAGAAGGGCTTGGCTAACATGATAACTGGCAATGTTAGATACATGAATTTCCAAGTGGGATAAAAAAGTTCCTTTATGGAGAGGAAATATGACCTGTGTAATTACTCTTTTCTTTTTGGATACCTTCTGGTTTTAGGCCCTAAGTCTGCAGTGGAGTTTTAGTATTCCAGGGCCATCTCAAAGATACAGTGTAGACAAAAAGCATTGCAAACATCTCCACTAGATCTGGGGAACATGGTCATTTCTATTATATCTCTCACCAATACTTTAAAGAACAACATTTCCTTATTCCATTTATATTGTGACATTATCATTTTATTGGTTCAGTCGTTGATTAATTCATTTGATATCAATATCTATTAGGACCCTATTGTGGATGAGGCACTATGCTGTGAACGAACACTGGGGGTTCTAAAGATGAATAAGGCACAAGGAACTTAGCAGATAGTAACCAAGAGAATGTACAATTGAAGGAGTAGGGTAGCAAGTTGCAGAAAGTGAACAAAAACCTGCTATTGGGTTCAGAATAGGGATAAATTATTTCGAGTGTGTGGGGTTTGGGACTGGCTGGAAGAGAGGAATTTATGCGAAAGGTGACCTTAAATTGCAGTAGTCACCTCACACCCATTAGGATGGCTACTATTAAAAAAACAGAATAAAACAAAAAATAATGGATGCAGAGAAATTGGAGCCCTTGGAAATGGGGGAGTAAAATAGTGCAGCCATTATGGAAAACAATATGGCAGTTCTCAAAAAATTAAAAATATAATTTACCTTATAATCTAGCCATTCCACTTTTGGGCCTCTATATCCACAAGAATTGAAAGCTGGGTCTCATTGAGATATTTGAATATCCATGTTCATAGCAACATTAATCACAAAAGCCAAAGATAGAAGCAACCCAAGCCCATAGCTAGATGAGTGGACAGACAAAATGTGGTATGTGCATACATTGGAATATTATTCAGCCTTAAAATGAAAGGAAATTCTGAAATGTATTGCAACATGGAATGACCTTGAGGACATTATGCTAAGTGAAATAAGTCAAATACTATGTGATTCCACTTACATGAGCACTTATCTAGAGTAGACAACTGCATAGAGACAGAAAGTACAATGGTGGTTGCCAGGGCCTTGTGGGTGGAGCAAATGAAGAAAAAGAGTTTTTAATGGGTATAGAATTTCAGTTTTGTTAGGTGGAAAAGTTCTAAAGATTGGTTGTGCTCTGATGTGAATATACTTAATGTTACTGAACTATACACTTAAAAATGGTAAAGATGATAAATTTTATGTTATGTTGTCTTAACCACAATTTTAGAAAATGCAGTATTTTATCATGTGGGAGTGGGTGAAAGATACCCGACATCTTGGAAATTTTGCCAATGTGTATATTATTCATTCATTCATTCATTCATTCATTCAACCATCATGTATTAAATACCTGTTATGTGCTGGGCTCTGAGCTGGATACTGGGGCTACAATACTTACTAAGATTTATAAAACACTGAACCTGTCAATGTCATGCTTGCCAACCACCCTCTCCACTCCCCAAAGCACTAAGCTTGTATAGTTAAATATTCACAGCTGCTTTCTACTGACTTGAATCATGCATAAGAAATTAGTAAACAAACAGTAAAAAGATTTGAAGTTCTTGGGAATAGGGAGGAGTTGGACAGCATGGTGATGAAATGGAGAGACATGGGCCATGGAATATGAACTAGGCTTGAAAACGGCAAGTCAGTGCTCTCTAAGGATATTAAAAAATAAAGGACTCCTATTTGAGGCTGCCAGCCTAAGAGCTAAGTAATTTAGAATGGGGGAAAAATGGCAAAGTCAGACACACTCAACCCAAGAAGCCGGTATTTTGTGAATTTTATGGCAAGGGTAGTTTGAGAACCACTGGCACAAAATTGTGGGCAATATTAACAAGTGAGAAGGGCAGGGAAGGGTTATACAATTCGAGCTGAAAGGGAAGGCAGGACTTCCAAGGGGAGGGCCAGTGAAAGTCAGTGTGGTCTGTTTATTTGGGTGGGAACTGGAAGTAGGGAGCATGAGCTTCCTTAACCGAAAGACCTGGAAGCTCTGCCTTTAATTCACTTTGTCTCATCCTAGGTTTCTTTTTTTCTTTAAATTTTATAGGAACCTTTACTCCACCTATTCTTCCAACATCTTTCTATTTCTCTCACTCTCTTCCCCCCGCATTTACACCCTGGAACATTCTATTTATTCATTTAAATATCTATTGAGTAACAACTATATAACAGGCACTGTGCTGGGCTCTGGACATTATGCCCTCAGTTTCCTTAGGCCACATTTGGTTGCACATAACAAACCCTGGATTGCTATAATTTCCGCTCCTATACCGGTTAATGCAAAGTTAGTTGCACCTACTACTCTTCTTACCTTTTCCTCTCAGCCTTCAAGGTATCTTCATTGGGGCTGTTCCTTCTACCTGTGCTTTTAATCCCATCTGCTCTACTTTTCCCCTCTGTGTACCCTCAACCATTTCCTCTCTGCTGACCAGTTCCTTCACTCTACATGAGACCTTCTCAGGTCTCTTCCATCCTAAAATTCCTTGCTTGTTTTTATATTCTTTAGCGACCACCCTGTCTTTCCCTTCCCACTCTCATTCGAGTTCTCAAAGGAATGGCCTTCACTCCTTTTCATTTTCTTATATTCCATCCACTTTTCCACCCACTGGATTTTCGCTTGTGCCCACACTGTCTACCAAAACTCCTTGCTAAGTGTCCTCTTTGTCAAATCCAACTTCCCTCTATCAATCCTCGTTTTATTGGATTTTCTGCCCCATTTGGCACTATTGATCACTCTCTCCTTAAGTTTTCTACTTTCTTAAAACTTTTTACTCCTCAATTTCCTTGGTTCTCACTTTTCTTTCTGGGATATGCTTTCTTCACAAAACCTCTGAAGGTTGATGCAACCATCCACGTTCTGCTTTCTTCATTCTGCATGTTCTTACAGAGGAGTATTGAATAGTCGCGAGTATCCTCAATAATAGTCAAGTTATACAAACCGATATCTAGGGTTACGTGGTAACAATGGCATAAAATCTGGTTTGTTTTTCTACACATGTGCTATGTCTGCATCAGTTCATTGGAGTTGCAGATGTCCCAGTTGTTTGACGCTTTGTCTCTATTTCCTAAAGACCCTTCGTGTGATCTGGAATTGGAATAAGCTCTGGTCTCTAATGGTGCTGAGTTAATTGCGAATCCCTGGGGAAAAAAACACCCAAATGAATAAGTCTATTAGAAACCAGCTAATTTCATTTTGTCATTTTCTGGATAATATATTCCGGTGTAGGCAGCTCATTTTTTTAAACAAGTTTGCAATAGACAATTTCCCCTCAAGGTTAATATAATAGGCAAACACCTTTTGCTGCGGCAGATGGCAAGAGATAAGAAAGATTAGCTTACATTATGATTCATTATTTCAAAATGTCAGAATAAAGTGGATCCACTGTGTCGCCCCAGCCTCTCATACTTTAGAGGAGAGAGTACATGTTTTGCTTTTCTAATGTTAATGGATTCACTGGTTTTTGTTTCTCTCTCTCTCTCTCTCTCTCACAGGCCAAATTCAGATAATCGGCGCCAGGGTGGCAGAGAGAGATTGGCCAGCAGCGGTGACAAGGGCAGCATGGCCGTGGAGTCTGCCAAGGAGACCCGCTACTGTGCAGTGTGCAATGACTACGCCTCAGGCTACCATTATGGAGTCTGGTCCTGCGAGGGCTGCAAGGCCTTCTTCAAGAGAAGTATTCAAGGTAATAGTGTGTTGAAAACAGCAAATTCCATTTTGAATCCCAAATGGGAAGCAACAGAGGAAGGAAGGCATATGACCAGCCACTTGCACAAAACCCTAAAACCCAGTAGGTCCACTTAAATCTTTGTTAGAAACATGGAGAAGAGACAAGAGCTCAGGGCAGCTGCGATCGCGTTCTTATGCTTCTTCCATTTGGCAAGATCCAGACAGTCTTGACCAACTACAGGCAGAGGGTTTCAGTAACGGGCTCAGAGTGTCTGTGCTCTGCTCGGGGGATGGCTGGTGGAGGTCTATGTGTTGCTGGCAACTAGGCTTATAGGATACAGTGTGATATTAATCGGCTACCCATAGATACCTCTCCACTTGGGCTTGGTCCAGATGAGTAGTCTGTTCTGATCTTTGCTCCAGACCAATGCTAACATAACAACATATTATTTAGCTGATACTAACTTAACTTAGAAAAATTATATTTATATTTTGGTTTAGGTTAGTATAAGCCTTTTAAGGCTCTTCTTCTATCTTTGTTATCTCAATAGATGACATGACCTTTTGCTAAAACGAGAAGACCCGATAACTGGTGACTTGCCATAGGGCCAAGTACCTATCTGTGCTGTACCCAACAGTTATTAAGTATCCACCTGTAACACTCCCTTTGCCTGTGTGCCTTGGTCCTTTTCTTGTGTATAGTTTACCAAATACAGCTTCTCTGATGTGCTGCCCGCTGCATTTTATCTCTACTCCAGGAGTGTTTCTATTGCATTTAGAGGATACCCTGGGGGAAGCCACAATCACTTTAACTACATAAAATATCCACGCTAAAGACCCTTTGTTCACCAGGAACAGAGCTCTGATAGTGTAGGCTAACTGCATCGCTTTTTGTCTAAACAGTGGAAAATTTTTCTCTGTTCTGCCTCCTTTACCTTTCCAGCTTAAGCAAGTTTAGTATATAAATACTAGGGGTATTTCCGATGGTTTCTCATCTGCTGTAGTTTCTCCGCTGCCTGATATGGATGAAAGCTGGGGGATGAGAGACACTATTTATCCTTCCATTGCTGTAGGATGGACTTTTTTTTTTTTTAAAGCTGTTAATATCTAATAGAGTAGCATGTGAGGTCAGCTTGGTCCTTTTTAAAAGCATTTTTTTTTACAATTATTACTTTCAATATCTTAGAAAACACTGTAAGATGGGCTTTTTTGTTGGATTTTAATAAAATTACTGATATTTTCTGATAGTAATTTTTGTTTTACATATATAAACAAGTGTATATACACACATAAATATCTATACATATATTTAGAAATACATATGTATGCATGTATTTTTATATATACAAAAACATGTATATAAAGTATACATATGTGTAAATAACAACGTATTATTTAGCTGATACTATCTTGATTTAGAAAAAATACATTTATATTTTGGTTTAGGTTAGCATAAGCCCTTTAAAGTCTTTTGCCAGTGATGTTTTACTGTTCATTTGATTTAATATAATCTAATATAATCTTAAATACTTTCTTCAAGTATTTAATCTGGTAGTGAAAAATCATTTGACAGAAGTAGGGTTGGTGGGTAGGTTCAACTATAACATTGGACAAATCATTTATCTGGGGCTGAGTTCCCTCAGCAGGAAAAATGGTTTAGCACATCAGTCAGCAAAGTTTTTCTGTTAAAGGACTGGATGTAAGTGTTTTAGGCTTTGCAAGCCGTACAGTCTCTGTTGCAGCTACTCAACTCTGGCACTGTGGCCTGCAAGAAGCCATAGACAATATGTAAACAAATGGTGTGTGGCAATAAAACTTTATATACAAAGTCAGTAACTGATCAGACCTCGCCTGTGGGCCACAAAGTACTGACTTGATTTAATGAATGGAAAGGGAATCGATGGTTTCTAAGTCTAATGTTGATTATTCATGTTTACTGAAAACTTACTCTGCATTTGTGCTAGATGTTCTGAGTGAAATAAAAATGTGTAACACACAATCTACAATCCCACAACATTTAGAATTTATTTGGGAAATTTACTAGGAAGGCAAAGGTACTTGTCCTCATGAGGTAACTAGAGAATATTTCAGTATAGATAAAGTGCTACTGTATTATATAGATAAGGAAAACAATAGGTGAATATAAGAAAAGAAAATATTGTCAGGTATATATATGTAACATTACCGAAATTGAAAGTAGAAATGACCCTCCTCCAAGTAACAATACCAATATTCTTACAGATTATTTTTGTCATAATTATTCATCATTTAGGAATGAACTGTGTAACGTCACATCAAAATTAATATTGTCTCCAAGAATTAAGACATGAGAACAGAAAACACAGGAAAAATAATTTTAAAAAAATCAATGAAGGAAGTAATAGCTTATGAAAATAGCTATTTTATTGGTATGGCATTAACTCAAATTTAAACGAGTTTTAAGTTGTTTTAAATGAGATGAATATTGAGTCCAAAGTTCTGGAAGAAGCCTAGAAACAAGGCAGAGATTTTAGCTTTTAGAGATAGGGAGGGACCTTAAAGATGACGTTCACTCCCTCATTCAATTGTTCATCAGTTGCCGCTATTAGGCAAAGCACTGTGCAAGGCGTTGTAGAGACAACTATAGGGCAGACATGGTCCTTACCCTCACAGAGCTTACAAATAAACCGGCAATTAGCTTGCAGTGTGACAAGTGCCAGGGTGAGGGTGAGTGCGGGGTCTTCCAGGAGTCCAAACTTCACTCGGGCCTCGTGGGGGTGGAGTCAGGCTCGGAGAAGGTTTCCTGATTTAAAATGAGGCCTGAAGGATGAGCCAAGTGAGGAAAGTGAAGGAGGGGATGAGTGTTCAGTCACAGGAATGAGCAGAGGAACAAAGTCCAGGAGGTAAGATAGAGTTTAGGGAGTTCTGTGAATAAAATTTAACAAAAAAATTTTTGCCATTAGATTAAACAAAGACATTTCTGGGCCATGTGTTTATTCTTACACTGTGTGAAAACAAAGTAATTTATTTCCTTTTTACTTAAATGATTTTCCGTGTATTTTATTTCCTTGTGCATATAAGAGGGACATACCAGAGCGAGTTTGATGGGTTTTAGTCCCATTTTCTCATCATAGCCTTGAAAACTTGCAACTAAAAAGTTTTTCTGAACTTCCCTGGCTCTTTATAAATTACATTGCCCCTCAAGCCTAGTCGAGGACAGTGAAGGGCCTGGCATGCAGGTAGGAAGTTCTGAAGATGCCGTAGCTCTCCCTGTTTCTCTCGTTACTTAAGAAAAGAGCTTAGAAGTGAGTATTCATCAGATTACTCTAGTGCTCTAAGTGTTTCAGCTGAAGAGGTAAAGTGTTTGACTTGAAAGCATACAAATTTTCATCCACTACCTGGTGTAGAAACTTGATTACGCAAGAAATTAAGTAATGGCCTCCAGTGGAACATGCTTTTCCCCCCCTTTAAATGTCAAGGATACTGCTTAAGGGAGGGGGTGAAATTGGATAGTCTATGAACGTATTAATCATTGCAGGTGGAGAAGCTGTGTCTGTTAAGATGTGTTGTGGGCAGAGACTCTTGGAAGAGTTATATAAGCAGATTTGGTTCAGTGGCCAGGTACAACTTTGAGTATTATTCCAAGAAAAAGGACTCCACTGAGCACACTGCTTATTGTATATTATTTCAAATGTTCATGAGGCACAGTGCAGGCTCAAACCTATATATATATATATATATACCCCCCTCACTGTGCTGCCACTTCATATAATCTCTCTCTAAGATGTCTATAGAAGATGCTTAGATCAAACAGACATGATCAAGACAGGTGTTGGCTTAAAGGTTAGCTAAGTCCAGGAGGACATGGTTTCAGGGTTGGGTCTGGTTATGGTTCAATGTAGTAGGGGCCTTAAATCCAACAAAGATAAATGTCAGCCTGGTCCGCTGGGCCTTCCAAGGAGACAGTCCAGCACCCTGGATAGCTCCTTCAACAGCTGCCTAGGGTAAGCAGAGACTTATTTCTGAAGAAATGTAGGCCGGTCAGCTAGCTTCATTCACTTTGCAGAGCTTTATTAAAAAGAGAATTTAGCTCCTTTATGCTTAAGGACTCACCCTTGCTCAGCCATGATGGATTAGGTTTTACGTTTAGTTTCCCATTTCTAGTCACCTTCTGGATTGACATGCACGCCCATGAATGGAAGAGGCCAGAGGATGGGGAGAAGTGGAGGCTGCTCTGTCGTTACAGAACTATTTGATCTCAGAAGTCCTTTCAGAGCTATGGCTCAAAACTGAGAGCCTGGCAATATATGCACACACACAAAAAACGAAATCTTTGGTCTCTGCATTCTACACGTGCCCCTATAGTCAGGTCTCCATGCAATGGTGGGGGAGATCTTTGAGATATGTTATTCAAGTCATAAGGTCTTGCAGTTAAAACTGTCACTGCACTTAAAGTCCAGGTTGTTTTCTATGGTTTAAAATACTACACACGGTCTTACTCCTGCTTACTCCTCCTTCTCCCCCCCCCCCCCCGCCCCCCCCCTGTTCACTGCAATCCAGCCACGCTGGCCTTCCTCTTCCCTCAGTGCACCAACCTGTTCCTTCCTCGGGACCTTCATACATGTGCTTCTCCTTTTCCCTTTGCTTGCAACACGTGCATCGTGACTGACTTCTTGTCATTTAGATCTCTGCCCAAGATCACTTTCTCAGAGAAGTTTTCCCCAATTACTCTACCAAAAGTAACTGTACAAACCTTTTCCCTGAGGTTTTTTTATACTCTATCACCCTATCTTTTAATAAAGTTCTCTGATTTATCCATTTGGTTGATATTCCTGCCTGAACATATATATAAGCTGAGTGAGAGCTGATTTCTGGTCTGCTCTTTGTTTGTTGCTATAGTGCCAGTGCCTCTAGTGGTGTTGGGCACATCTCTGGTACATAGTAGAATATGGAGAAATTTCACTTGGTAACATTGGCAGGAAAAGCGTTAATGCCAAGTGGTATATTTGACATCAGCCTGAAAAGGAATGGAGGATT